AGCACCCACCACCTCTCTCCTGGGTTCGATAATTCACTGCAGTGGCCACATAGAACTCACAGATTATGGAGTTTATTAGGGAAGCATCAGGCTACAACTCAAGTTCAAAAAAATGCTCAGTCTCTCTCCCCAGCCCACCGTCTCTCAGCCAAGTCTCTCACAGTCTCTCCCCCAGCAATGCATGTCCCTCGATGTCTTACTCAGCAATGCATGTCTCTTGCATCTCTTTCCCAGCAGTATGTGTCTCTTTCAGCAGCACGTCTTCCTCAACCAGCAGTCAGAGAAAGAGTTCTGCCTCCAGGAGGCCTCCTTTTGAGCCCGACAGGGTGGTCAAACTAGCCAATTATAGCATCAGAACTCTAAGCACTTGAGAGAGAGTGGGCACCTCCCAGAACATTGTTTTGTGCCACTCCCAGCAGAAATACTCCAGGTGGACAACTTCAGCAATCAGGAGCTCCTCAGTTGCTCCTAGAAAATCCCACCTTGGAGTTTACAAAGACTAATGGGTAGAAAAAGCCACACTAAGTAATTTACTACACCACAGTTGTAAATCATACTGAAGGTCTTTGATCTTCATCAGTAAGTGCTTCAAGTCTTCTTTGCTTGCAGCAAGGAATATTGTGTCATCTGTGTATTACAGGTTGTTAATGAGTCTTTCTCCAATCCTGATGCCATATTCTTTCCGATAAAGGTCAACTTTTTGGATTATTTGCCCAGCATACCAATTAAATAAGTTTGGTGAAAGGCCAAACAGCAGATGATAAAGTAGATGAATGGGACCTTCTAAAAATTAAATTTTTGTGTGTTTTAAAAGACTTCTCCAAAAGACTAAACGGAGAACCTACAGAATGGGACAAAATATTTGGCAACGACATACCTGACAAGGCACTTATCTCTAAAATTTACAAAAAACTCCAACACTTAAACAACAACAAGACGATCCAATTAAAAATGGGCAGAAGGCATGAATAGACATTTCATCAAAGAGGGTATTCTGGCAGCCAACAAACGTATGAAGAAATGTTCACAATCATTAGCCAGTGGAGAGGTGCAAGTCAAAACTACAAGATACCATCTCACCCCACCATGAGTAGCAAAGTTCAACAAGACAGAAAATAACAAATGTTGGGAATCTACTTCCATAAAGATGTACAGTCTTAGAAATACAGCGGGGATTGCTACGAGTTGCACTTGACTTGATGGTAATAGGTTTGGTTTTGATTTTATCTCTTAAGTGATGGCTCAGGAATCTATTTTTAAAATTTTTCCTAGGTAATTTTGATCCTCTACAAGATTTAACATATCTTAGCCTTGCTTTCTCCCCCCTTTATTTTGATTTGGGTGAAAGTTTACAGAGCAAATTAACAGCCTTTACAGGCAAATCTAAGCATTTCTTGCAGTCCATTTTGCACAGTGTCACAAAGCTTTATAATCTACACCTATGTCTCTGCCACTTCTAGAATATTGATAGCACCACATTACCTACAGGTTCAAGTCTCAGTCTAGGATGCAAGGCCATTTGTGATTTGACTCATGCCTATTTCAACCTCACTCCTTTTCCTAGTTTGTTCCCTAAACATACTGCCTTATGTGTGCCTTTTGATACTCTGTTTTTTCTTTAAATTCCCTATAGTCAACACAAGCACAGATTTTTAGCATTTCTCTACTTGTCTAAGGAACTCTGGTAGCATAGTGCCTAAAGCAACTGCTACCAGAAGGCTGGCGGTTCAATCCCACCAGCCACTCCTCAGAAGGAAGACTGGATAATCTACCTCCATTAGTGATACTGCCTCAGAAGCCCAAGGAGAGGTTGCTATGAGTCAGATCCAACTCAACGGCAGTGAGTTTGGTTTTTGGAGTTAGTGAGAGCAACGAGTGCCAACCTGATCTTCCACCACATCTAACTGCCTGCTCTGGAATGTGCTTTTCCCTGAGTATACTTACCTTCAAGATTATTAACGGCTAATTACATTAACCAAATGTACCAAGAAACCTAATATGTTTAATAGACAAAGGAATGATTTCTTTTTAAGGAAGTACATTTCCCTTAGGTTACTTAAAGTGATTATAAGCAAATTAAAATAAAATCTTTATAGGAACAGATTTTCTAGGTTATGACCTATATACTGAAACAAAATTGTTCCAAGTTCTATCCCCTGGGTTACATGATAAGTATTTAATAGATGAAAAGGAATACCTACTAGATTGGGAATTAAAAGACCCTTTGCCAGCCCTCAGCATCCTATGTTTATGTGAGTTTGTAGGAGAAATAAAAATGACACTTTGAAGGAAAAAAGATGAGTGGTAAATGGAAGATTATCTGTAAGTTATTTTGAATGATTGAAGGGTAAATGAAGTGTGTGACTAATTAAACTAGATAAGAAACTGCATTTCCAAATTAATTTTCATGGTTTTTTTATTCCCACAGCTTTCCCATGGTTTGGCATGGACATCGGGGGAACTCTAGTAAAGCTTTCATATTTTGAACCTATTGATATCACAGCAGAGGAAGAACAAGAAGAAGTTGAGAGTTTAAAAAGTATCCGGAAATATTTGACTTCGAATGTAGCATATGGATCCACTGGTATTCGGGATGTACACTTGGAACTAAAGGATTTAACGCTTTTCGGCCGAAGAGGGAATTTGCACTTTATCAGATTTCCAACCCAGGACCTGCCTACTTTTATCCAAATGGGAAGAGATAAAAACTTCTCAACGTTACACACGGTGCTATGTGCTACAGGAGGTGGTGCTTACAAGTTTGAAAAAGATTTTCGCACAGTAGGTATTTGTTATTTAGTTAAAACTAAAATTAATACCCATCATGTTCAAATTTTTAAATATGAGATTAAGTTACTATCAAGTTCCTTATATTAGTTCCCTGATGATATAGAGGTAATAAAATTCATGAATAGTTTTTTATTTTGAACTTTTAAACATCTTTATAGGATGATCACAGTTACTTAGATTTGAATCATGAATATAATATTTGGTAAAACCTGCTAAGTATGAGACTGCTACAGAGGTACAGTAAAAAAGTAGCTTTAATGAATTTGGTATGCAAGGAAACATGTGCCTTGACTCGCGTTTTTTTTGAGTATTAACCAAATAATCATGTCTTCCAAACCCCAACTGAAGCCACTGTCTTAGTAGGCACCTGAATGAAAATCCCTGTTACCTCTTGTTCCTGTTTCTGCAACATTAGCTTTCCACGTTTATGGTGAGTGGCTTGGTTGTGGCAGGAAGACTGTGAATATTGATTTAAGTTACGTATTATTAAGGATTTACTAAAATTCTTGTCCTATAGATTAGAATAAAGATTAGAAAAGTTGATATTTAAGGCTGCTGGGATTTGTTTTCTTTAAAAACAAAAAATTGAGTTTGGGTGTGGACCATTTAATTTCTCAAATTGATAGAAAATTCTGTTAATACAGCGTAAGTGATCTCTTACGTGGCTCACGTAAATTGAACTCCCTTGTAATTTGAAGTAGTTTAAATATAAACTGGGATAATTAGATAGTAAACATTTTTATCTTAAGTATTTTTTTTTCTCTTGATGGATAAAGCTGCTTTGAGTTCACTTATTGAGTAATTTGAACATAAGTGTTCTGATTTTGAAAGCAGTTTGTTTGGATGTAAGGTGGTCTGGTGGCACCGTGGTTAACACTTGACTGCTAACCAGAATTCAGTGGTTTGAACCCACCAGCTACTCTGCAGAAGAAAGATGTGGCAGTCTGTTTCCATAAAGATTTACAGCCTTAGAAACCCTTTGGGGTAGTTCTGTCCTGTCGGGTCACTATGATTTGGAATCCACTGGATGACAATAGGTTATTTATAGGGGAAGGAACTTTGGGGCACAGTGGTTAAGTACTGGGCTGCTAACTGGAAGGACAGCAGTTTTGGCCTATTAGCCACTCCCTGAGAGAAGGATGGGGCATTTCTACTTTGTCCTATAGGGATGTTAGGAGTCGGAATTAACTTGGTGGCAGTGAGTTGTTTGGACATGTGATATTTAGTGTTTGCCACGATCTGCCACAAGCAGTTTCTCTGAAGCCAGCACTGGCCCTAGATAATCCAAACATGGAGTTCTAAATTTTAAGTATTTATCAGTATATTCTAATGATGAAATTCTTTATAATGTATGTTGATATTCAGTCTTTTGTTAAGTAAATATTCAAGCATGCACTGTGTATCAGGTACTTTACTAGACACTGGAAGAACACAGAATAAGGCACAGAATAAGACCTTGTCCTCAAAGAATATATAGTGTTTTAGACCTGACAGATAGGTATTACAAGTAAAAGTACAATGCATTTTAATTAGTGGTATTGACTATGAAAAGAAGTACCATGGGAACACAGAGTAGTGGTACCTAACCAGTTGTAGAGAATAGAAGTTTCCCAGAGTAAGTGATACTTTAGCTAATATCTTTTATAACAAATATATAATAATATAATCTTTACTAATCCGAAATGAATTTAATTTCAAACTTATACTCAAACTAAAATATAAAGGCAGGAAATTAAAGTACAGCTATCCCTTGTTCTTCAAAAGTTCACTTTCTGCCACTTTGCTTTTACAAAAAGCCTACATTAGTACCTGTTTATTAACTAAAAGAATCAAAAAAAATTTCACTTTTACAAGAAAAGGCAAAACAAATCTAGCATTCAAGGTTTATTTTGCAGCAAGCTATTAAGGAAACAGCTTGCACTATGAGCAGTAACAGTGGCATTGCCAAGCTCCTTCCCTGGGAACTATACTACATGCATTGTTTCTACTTTATGTAGGCTCTGTATTTATCATATCATTCCTGTTTTTATTATATGTTAGTGTTAGTTTTATGTTAATTTGGTATCATTTGGTAGGTTACTTTTTGGGTCTGGGAATGCACAAAAATTTTTCCATATAAATTAAGGGTAATTACTTCTTAGCTGTACACGAAGGTTTTATGGGAATGTTCAACTTTCCGATGGGGGGGGGAACCTATATTTGTGTATCAGTGGATAGATTCTGTGATATGATCACACCAGAAGACATGAAGTAGTTTGACACTTGGACCTATGCATAATGAACACTAAACCTCCAAACGCTAGACTAATATGGTATGTTTTCTTAGAGAATTGAATACCATGAATGGTGGCATGACATTCCAAGATGCTGAACACTTGATAAATTCCAAGTAATAAAAACCACAGTATTGCCTGATATTATATGGTGATTGCATTTGTAGTGAATTTTTTATATATTAAAACCATTTAGTGAATATTTTATGTTTATATAGATATGGATAGATAAAATACATTTTTTATGTTGGCTCAGATAATTTTAAAAAGTTTTTTGTACTGCCGTTTCCTAAGTGTTTGCGTAACACTTAAAGATCTTACAGGGATGGGACTTCTGATAAGAGGGAGAAATAGACAGACAAGTGACACAGATCCTCTTCAACAAAGAAAAGAAAAACCAATTGACAAGAGATACGGAAGATAATCCTGGAGCCCTGAGCTTTGAAAGGAACTATACAGAAGTAGGTTAGGCACCAACTAGTGGAAAAACCTGAATGAAAACAGTGAGTACAGAGA